CCGCAACGGGAGAGGCCACAACAGTGAGAGGCCTGCGTACCGCAAAAAAAAAAAAAAAAAAAAAAGAAATAGGGGTTTTTTTAATGCCCAAGTTGAGTTCGGTAGAATGTGTGTCACCCTCTAGTTGGCAGCCCCATGGGGCGGGCCAGTGACCCACATCCCCTGGGAAGGTGGCCTGCAGCAGAGGTGCTTTCCCTTCATGAGGTGAGAGCAGTAAGACTTCAGCAGGCAAGCCCTTCAGCTGCGTTTCTCATGCCTGCCAGCGTCCTGTGCCTTCCACCAGCTGTGGTGGCAGTGGCAGCAATGACTTACTCATAGGGAGAGGTCCCCAGCAGGTCACAGAGGAGCCACCCCCAGCATTCAGAGGCATGCCCTTTCAGTTTTACTGTCATTGCCAGTGAAACCTGATCACCTTTCTCACTGACTGTTAGTGGCCAGGGCCCAGCCTGTGGGCCCCATCTCAGTTGGCACGCACACCTCCTCCCCTGCTCCGTGCTTGGTCTCTGTCCCTGCAAGTTGGTGTGTGGCAGGAGGCCATGGGAGGGCAGGACAGGGCTGGGACCTGCTCGCCCGGCCCCTACCGGGTTTGTTTCAGTGCCCTCTGGCTCTGCACACAGGGAGATGCCCGCAAATCAGTTTGCTTCTTGGCCATGGTCCCCAGAAGAGGAAGCAGCACAGTAGTGACCATGGTCTACAGCGACAGGTGTACCCAGAGCCAGTCTCAAGGGACTGCTGCCACACAAGGCCCTGGCAGACTTGGGAAGACTGGGCTTTTACAGATGAGCATGGAACTTCCCTGAACGATGTGAACATCTGTAAGACTAACAGGCGCCAGGCCGTGTGCCTTCCGAGATGTGGTGCCCAGACCACTGGTGCTACATGAGGGGTTTTTTCAATGATGCATAGAAGACATTCGGACTCTTTATTGCGGAAATGCAGCTTGCGCTGGTAAACATATTCCTAGGCTCTCAGACTCCTGGCACCACAGATATTATTTGCTGAGCCACAAAAACGAGTTGACATAAAGTCAATTTAAAGAAAAACACCAAGTAAACAAGAGTATAGGTTGTACAGAATCGTGGCAAAGGAGTGCAGGTAGAACACAGAAGACTGCCGTCTAGGGATCACCGTGCTGGTGGGGGAAGATGGTGACGATTCTCATCAGTCTGGATGGTGGTCTTTGCACATCTGTGAGTTGGGTCCTAAACCACCCCACCATGTGGGCTCCTGCCGATGTGGGAGACTTCGGTGTTAGTTATTAGTTGTCAGCCTCACTCTTTTTGTGTAGACTTTGAGTTTATTCTTTTTCTTTCCTTTTTTTAAGTACACAGTGAAGTAAATTGAAATAAATTCATTTGGGATGTACATATACGTAAAAGTGTCTGGGTTGAGAAGTGCCCTCTGTATATGCTGCCTAGATAACGAGTGTGAAACCACTTTCATATCCAAGGAACCTAACTCTCCCTTGCTGATTTTTAGCCCAAGGTCTTACTTTCAGAGACCCATTATTTTTAATAACCATCAAGGTCCCTTCTCAGTGCTGTGCGAGGGTTTTAGTCACGCCTGTTTCCCCAAGCCATTTGGTCTACACTGATTTTTATTGCAGTGCTTTGCCCAGCCCTTGGGCCTGTCCCGACAGGGACTGGCTGCTTCTCTGGAGGGGGAAGGGGCAGGATGCTGACACACCGTGGACTCAGGGCCCTGACTTGCCCACCCCTTGCCTACTCACTCACTGGCTCACTCACCGTTCTGTGTCCCTGTAGGCTGTCCTGGAGGACCAGAGTCATATGAGGCAGATGGAGCTCGAGATCAGACCCTTGTTCCTCGTACCAGACACCAACGGCTTCATTGACCACCTGGCCAGTCTGGCACAGCTGCTGGAGAGCAGGAAGTACATCCTGGTGGTGCCCCTCATCGGTGAGTCAGGCCAGAGCAGCCCTGCATGTGCGCAGTAACCCTCTCTACACACATGCCCCACAGCCTGGGGGCCAGGCAGGCAGAGCCCTGCTGTGTGTGTAAGACAGGATTTGCAGGGAAGTGGGGAATGTGTGGGGCAAGGAAAATTGTTTAATAATCAAAGCAGTTCAAATTATTATGGCTGATCCATGGCTTAAACTGCTTGAGCAAATGGACTCCTGTGTCCCAGCAACCAGAGGCTGCATGAGCCCAGCCCTTGTTTTTATCCTTATAAAGCTTGCAGTAAAACAGCAAAGCTGGTTCCCGTTATTGGTAAACACTCAGCCCTGGCAGATAGCGGCAGTGCTGCTGGGTGGTCTGGCAGGGAGGCTGGGAGGGTTTTGAAGTGCTTAGATGCCTTTGGTCTGATTGTCTTGTAGCTTTTCATGATCGTTCTGTTGGTTCGAGGTAACATTCTTCTGGCCAATGTCACCCTAAGGCCAGGCTGATGGAAACCCTCCAGAGCAAGCCCTTGGCTCACGCGTGTGGATTCCTGCCACTTGGGCTCTTACCACTGTCTGGTCATTGGTGCTGGTACAGGGTCAGCATCTCAGGACCCAGCTAGCTTGCTTCCACCCTCAGGCCAAAGGAGCCCAGCTGGGCTATCTCCAGAGGGCTGTCTAAGGCACCTCTGGTTCTGGGAGCCCTGTGGCAGGTCAGCTTCAGGACGGGCTTTGTGCTCTGGGCTGCTGTCTGATGTAACTGATACAGCTAATATCACTGATAGCTGTCCTGTGGAGGGAGAGTATCTGGGAGATGGCTGGCAAGCCCAGGCTTTTTAATGTCCCCTTCTCACCAGCCACTTGGAGCAAGTTTAGGGGCCCTGTCCTCTGGAAAATCTGCCAGACTGGCAGTCTGCCTGCCAAGCCACCTCTGACACTCATGCCAAGATGTTCCGCTGGGCCTTCCCTCCCAGTCCCTAGTGTCTTAGTGCCAGATGAGAGTGGAAACAAAGGGCAGGAAACATCCGCCCCTGCAGAGGCTATAGAACCCTGGGGGGTTGTGGGAAACACGTTAGCACCACCTGAGAATGTTGGCACTGAAGCAGCCCTCGTCCCGCCTCCACCCTCCCTGTCTTCCTTCCCCCTCCCCATGTGGCCTGGCCAGAGCCTCTTCAACCCAGGCCCTTAGACCCAAGGGAAGGTTCTCTGTTCTTCAGAAGCAGAGCAGCTTGTCTGCCCAAGGTAGAGCCAGACTATCGAGTTGTTGCAGTTTCCCCTCTACCCTCACCGGGTCCCGGGGTGGGGCAACTTTCAGGATAGCACGTCCCTGTGCTCTCCCACCCAGGAGATTTTCAGGGATAAGAAAGTGAATTGGTCACTTTTTGCTAGAAGGTCAGGAAATGGTGTAACTGAGAGGTTGCTGGTGTCTCAGGAGCCCCCTGAGTCTTGGTAGGAGCCTCAGACACCATCCCAGGCTGGCAGAGCCCTCAGACACCAGCACCGATTGTGCCCCTACTGTGTGCTCAGTCTTCTTGTTCCCGAGGGAGCCAGTGAAAGGCAGAGCTGCAGCCCTTCGCCTTGAAGAGCTTATGGTTCAGTGGGGGAAGCCAGATTCAGTGGAGAGGGGGCAAATATATGAGAAAACTCAGAGGAGAAGGTAGGTAGAGAATAAATGGTCGACCCCCAGGGGCACTGGGAATGCCAGCTCTGTCACGGCATCCAGGCCAGCCTTTCTGAAGCGTCCTCAGCTGGGCAGGGCCTTGACTCTCAGGGGCTGTGGAGGGGGCTCCTGTTCAGTGAGGTGCCGCAGGGGCGTCCTGCCCTGGGCGCGGAGCACGAAGGGTTAAGCCGGCGGCCTTGTCTGCTTGTTTCTTGTGCTCTTTAACCTGCTCCCTGCTCCTTAGGTCTGACCCCAGCTTCGAGAAGCCCCGCCTGGTGCAGAAGCACAAACAAGCTTCCCCTTTGAAGCCTGTTTAGTTTGGAAGCAGGAAAGCAGATTTTGGGATAGAATACCAGTTTTTCATGTTTGATGTTCTGTTTGCTGTACCATCCACCCATCCACCACTACTCCGCAACCTCAGCCATACGTTGGGTGGACACTGCAGCCTCAGGTTGCTGAAGGCATGGCGTGTGTGTGTGTGTGTCTGTGTGTGTGTGTGTGTGTCTGTGTGTGTGTCCGTGTGTGTGTATTCCCACATGGGCCTTTTCCAGAAAGTGTCTCTGAATACCCAGACGGTGAGTGCCAGGCTCACCATGGAACAGCATGCTCACGCCGACTCCCCGAGCCATGAATCACTGCACTGAGGAGAGGCCTCAGACCCCAAACTCTCCCGGAGCCCCCAAGGAGTGCATATTTCCCACTTGACCTCAGGCTTTTGGCTGGAATTTTGGAAAGAATCTTCACCAAAAAATGAAGCTGTGTCCCAGACACATAGGCAGGCAGACACATACACACACACACACACACACACACACACACACACACACACACACACACACACACACACACACACACAGACAGGCACACACACACACACACACACACACACACACACACACACACACACACACACACACACACACACACACACACACGTGCACTATCAGAGGAGGTAGATGTGCCAGGGGTTTAGGGGAATAGCAGGGTCCTTGCGAGTGAGGCTGTGATCCCCACTTGCCACCTCGTGACCTCCCTGCGCTCTGGCAGGGGTGGGCATGGAACTGGGCCCCTCTTGGACTGCCGTGGTGGGGGCCCAGGCGGATGAGGGAGAGTGCCTCTTTCCTCTAGCCGCTACATACCCTCGCCTCTCCTGAGGGACCCTCTCGATTTGATTCTATAACTGAGGAATGCGATAGAGGGGCCAGGTTTCTTCCCCTGAACACAGCAGCTCCAGAAACTCCCTGTAAGTTCCTCCCAGGAGGAGGGTGGGGCCCAGGGGAAGAGTCAGAAAGAAGATAGAACACTGTGGAAAGTCTAGGGCATTTCTTGCCCCCCAAGATCCCCTAGTTTCACTGGAAGACTCCTGTGGGGCAGGGTGGCTTCTGTGGTCTGGGGAGGGGCTGGCTGGGAAAGTGAGGCCTCGGGCGAAGACAGACGTGATTGCTGAGGCTGATTCCTTGCGGGACTGTGTCTCATCAGTGATCAATGAGCTGGACGGCCTGGCCAAGGGGCAGGAGACAGACCACCGGGCTGGGGGCTATGCCCGTGTGGTGCAGGAAAAGGCCCGGAAGTCCATTGAGTTCCTCGAGCAGCGATTCGAGAGTCGGGACTCTTGCCTACGGGCCCTGACCAGCCGTGGCAATGAACTCGAATCCATCGCCTTCCGCAGTGAGGACATCACTGGCCAGCTGGTGAGACCCAGGGCAAAAAGGGAGCACCTATAGCCAGCCTTCAGAACAGGGCCTCTGGGAGGGAGGGGCTAGAGGAAGGCCAGTTGGCCTGAGCAGCCGAGGGGACGGCCACCATCGAGGCCCAGGAGGGGGAGTTCCTTGTCCCCTAGATCACTCTTGGCACAGCTGGACCTGGCCAAGCAGGGCCAGGGCATGTCTGGGAGGGACACTGGGAAGTGACCTTCCCCAGGACCCCAGAGGCAGAGCATACCTGTGCCTCCTCTGCATGGCGCCCCCTCCTGCCCGGTGGCACTTATCCTGTCTTCCTCCAGGGCAACAATGATGACCTGATCCTCTCCTGCTGCCTCCACTACTGCAAAGACAAAGCTAAGGACTTCATGCCCACCAGCAAAGGTACAGCTCTGCCTCTGCCTCGGGCCCATCCCTTCCCCTCCCTACCTTTTCCTGCCCTCCTCAGCCCTAGGGAAGGGTCCCTCCACTGACTCTGGCCTGGGAAGTTTAAGGAATCAGGGTTCAGGCCTGATAAAAGCCTGAGGCCAGCCCAGTTTCCTCCCCTCCTGGAAGTCAGACCTCCCTGTCACAACTCTCCCACCCTCAGGTGGACCCTCGGCCAACTAGGGATGGGCCTAGCCCAGGAAGCTGGGCTCTAGACTGTGAACTTTCCCACTGTGCATGCGTCCATTTCCTTTCTTGGGTCCTCGGTGAGTTCTCTGACAGCAAGAATGTCTTTATGATTCAGTGCAGCTTATTCTGGGCATGGTCTCCTGAGCCCAGCCCTCTGCCGCTCTCAGGACAGTCCCCAGTGGTCCCTGGGGCCCACCTCCCTGTTCTTGGCCATATGCTCATCTTCTCAATTCATCCGTGAATGTTTACCCTGTATGGGGGGTGGGGGTGGGGGTGGAAGTGTTTCCCCACCTAGTAGTGGGCCTTTCCTTCCTGTCTCTCTGGTTGTATGACATAGCCCTTTGGAGGCAGGTGGGAGCTTGTGGACTGAGCCCTCAGCCCAGTTTTCAAAACCCTTTTGGTGAGCAGAATCCCATCTGGGGACCAGAGAGAGGTTCTCTTCCGGGTGCTTGAGCACCTCACCCTCAACCCAGAACCGTCTCTCCTCTGAGGCGGCCCCTCAGCCTCTCAGAGTCAGAGAGGCTCGGGTGTTTTCTGCTCCCGGCTCCCAGGACTCTGACATTTCTTCATTTGGAAGGATTTCCTATCTCGGTGTCATCAGCAGAGCTGATCATTCTCACCATTTAGTCTGTGTCTGTGTGTATGTAGCCTCTTGTCATTTTCTCTTAGTGGTCGCCCATCTCTAGTCTCTGCTTGCTTTCCTAGCCTTGGCTTCTAGGCTGGCCTGGGGATTGTCTTCTCTCCAGCCCTTCTCCCAGCCACTTCAGTGCAGCCCCTCACTGCTGCCCAAGTCTCTGTACCTGAGGCTGGTAATGAGCCCACAGCTGCTGTTCTTCAGAGGGGTCCTGCCACGTGGCTTGCATGTACTGTCCCTTAGGGCCAGATTCGGAGCATTCAAGTGGTAAAAAGGAGTCCTGGCTGAGCCCAACAGAGGAGGTTGGGCTCTGCTCCCAGGCAGCTTCCTAGAGGGGCACCTTGTGAGGGAGAGGTAGGCAGGAGTGCAGAAGGCCTTGTTGGGAAGTGCGGTTCAGATACTGCTGTGGCCCCACCCAGCCTCAGAGCTGTTTCTTTCTTAGCAGAGACACAGTTTGGCTTTGGCCCTAGTCTCTCCCCCCGCCCCCGCCGCC